TCCTCTGTTGATACCAGGAATATTGTAGACCATACCTCCGATACATTTCCCGAGATGACAAGGATCATGGTAGTATGTGTCACAAATTAAATTCAGAATTTAGGGTTCAGGACAGTTTCAATAATCTGTTGTCTAGTCATTATATACGATTTGATTGCTGCGGACTATTCCATTGTATTTTCCTAGTATATTCCTCCTTGAGGACTTAAATCACGAGCAGTCCCGTCATAAAGTACATGAATCGTAATCCCAGGAAATCCCCAAAACACTTGCCTTCAAATATGTGTACTTATATATTCGATCATGAAACTTTCTATGTAGGTATTGGGTCTGAATCATCGAGACGGTACGGATACTTGGCCGCCATCGTAATGGCAGACATAAAAAAAATATTTTCCGGTCTAGTTTTCAAATCGATAAGTAAATGTATCGGAACATGATATAAGATATAAGTAGTCGTATTTGAAGGCAAGTGCCCAAGGAAGAGAATTGTGTTGTATTTGGCGTTAGATCACGACGCATAACGCGGCTGAAACATATAACGCGTTGGGCAGGTTTGGACTGGGAATCAATAAGGAAAACATTATGGTATGTTCTGTGTAGCGACAGGTCAGTATTAAAATCGTATGTTGTGAGCAGTACGGTTACCGCAGCTAGGTTCAGAGTAATGGGCACCAAAACCTTAATCTTTAATACAGAAGTATACTACAAACCATTTCTTCTTGTGTACAGGTCAGAAATAACAGAATAAGCCAAATAAATATATAATACATTCATGTCATCTGAACTGGGCAGTTCAAATAGATTTAGACGATTAATACAGTGGTTTACATGTAGTACACAGTGGTATACATCTAGTATACAGTGGTATACATCTAGAACACATTGGTATACATCTACTACACAATGAGATACATCTAGTACACAATGGTATACATCTAGTACACAGTGGTAAAAATCTAGTATACAGTGGTATGCATCTAGCACACAATGGTATATATCTAGTACACAATGGTATACATCTAGTACACAATGGCTTATATCTAGTACACATTGGTATACCTCTAGTACACATTGGTATGCATCTAGTACACAATGACATACATCTAGTACACAATGGTATGCATCTAGTACACAGTGGCATACATATAGTCCACAGTGTCAAACATCTAGTACACAGTGGTATATATATAGTACACAGCGGTATACATCTATTACACAATGGTATACATCTAGTATACAATGGTATATATCCAGTACACAGTGGCATATCTAGTACACAGCGGTATACATTTAGTACACAGTTTCATACATCTAGTACACAGTGGTATATATCTCGTACACAGCGGTATACATCTAGTACACAGTGGTATACATCTATTACACAATGGTATGCATCTAGTATACAATGGTATATATCTAGTACACAGTGGTATACATCTAGTACACAGTGGCATATACCTAATACATAGTGGCATACATCTAGTACACAGTAGTATATCTAGTACACAGCGGTATACATCTAGTACACAGTGGTACACATCTAGCACACAATGCTATACATCAAGTACAGAGTGGTATACATGCAGTACACAAGGCTTTACATCTAGGACACAGTGGTAAATATCTAGCACACAATGCTATACATCTAGGACACAGTGGTATATATCTAGCACACAATGCTATACATCAAGTACAGAGTGGTATACATGTAGTACACAAGGCTTTACATCTAGGACACAGTGGTATATATCTAGCACACAATGCTATACATCTAGGACACATTGGTATACATCTACTACACAATGGGATACATCTAGTACACAATGGTATACATCTAGTATACAGTGGTATACATCTAGAACACATTGGTATACATCTACTACACAATGGTATACATCTAGTACACAATGGTATACATCTAGTACACAGTGGTAAAAATCTAGTATACAGTGGTATGCATCTAGCACACAATGGTATATATCTAGTACACAATGGTATACATCTAGTACACAATGGCTTATATCTAGTACACATTGGTATACCTCTAGTACACATTGGTATGCATCTAGTACACAATGACATACATCTAGTACACAATGGTATGCATCTAGTACACAGTGGCATACATATAGTCCACAGTGTCAAACATCTAGTACACAGTGGTATATATATAGTACACAGCGGTATACATCTATTACACAATGGTATACATCTAGTATACAATGGTATATATCCAGTACACAGTGGCATATCTAGTACACAGCGGTATACATTTAGTACACAGTTTCATACATCTAGTACACAGTGGTATATATCTCGTACACAGCGGTATACATCTAGTACACAGTGGTATACATCTATTACACAATGGTATGCATCTAGTATACAATGGTATTTATCTAGTACACAGTGGTATACATCTAGTACACAGTGGCATATACCTAATACATAGTGGCATACATCTAGTACACAGTAGTATATCTAGTACACAGCGGTATACATCTAGTACACAGTGGTACACATCTAGCACACAATGCTATACATCAAGTACAGAGTGGTATACATGTAGTACACAAGGCTTTACATCTAGGACACAGTGGTAAATATCTAGCACACAATGCTATACATCTAGGACACAGTGGTATATATCTAGCACACAATGCTATACATCAAGTACAGAGTGGTATACATGTAGTACACAAGGCTTTACATCTAGGACACAGTGGTATATATCTAGCACACAATGCTATACATCTAGGACACAGTGGTATATATCTAGCACACAAGGCTTTACATCTAGGACATAGTGGTATACATCTAGTACACAATGCTATACATCTAGTACACAGTGGTATACATGTAGAACACAATGCTATACATCTAGTACAGAGGGGTATACTGGCACTAAAATCCTTTTTTAGGAAGTTTTCCAAAAGTTTCTATCAATATTTAATCCTGATGTTAGCATTTGACAGAATGAATGTTTCCTAATCTTCATATTCTTTCTTTTGTTGTTTGTTGATAACACTGCTTAGGGGCCAATCCTTTCGGGGACTACACACAATAAACTATACAGGTGATTTTTGGAGCGTCTCACTTCCGGGACAACTCTATCGTTTATCTGACAGCAGATGTTGAACAATAGTCATGTTGCCTCCCCCACAAAAGTTAACTGTCACCATCTGTATCAACCAGCGATAGGTCCGCCCCCTTTGATTCCAGGAAGTCAAACACGCTGTTGTGTCCTTTGAAAGCAGCAATTATTATCGGTGTAAGTCCATTCATTCCCCTTTGGTTAATGTTAGAATCTGACAGCAGGTGTTTAACAATAGTAATGTTGCCACCACGACAGGCAAGATGAAGTAAACTATCCCCATCTGTATCAACCAGCGATAGGTCCGCCCCCGCTGATTCCAGGAAGTCAAACACGCTGTTGTGTCCATTGAAAGCAGCAAACATTATCGGTGTAAGTCCATTCATTCCCCTTTGGTTGATGTTAGAATCTGACAGCTATACATCAAGTACAGAGTGGTATACATGCAGTACACAAGGCTTTACATCTAGGACACAGTGGTAAATATCTAGCACACAATGCTATACATCTAGGACACAGTGGTATATATCTAGCACACAATGCTATACATCAAGTACAGAGTGGTATACATGTAGTACACAAGGCTTTACATCTAGGACACAGTGGTATATATCTAGCACACAATGCTATACATCTAGGACACATTGGTATACATCTACTACACAATGGGATACATCTAGTACACAATGGTATACATCTAGTATACAGTGGTATACATCTAGAACACATTGGTATACATCTACTACACAATGGTATACATCTAGTACACAATGGTATACATCTAGTACACAGTGGTAAAAATCTAGTATACAGTGGTATGCATCTAGCACACAATGGTATATATCTAGTACACAATGGTATACATCTAGTACACAATGGCTTATATCTAGTACACATTGGTATACCTCTAGTACACATTGGTATGCATCTAGTACACAATGACATACATCTAGTACACAATGGTATGCATCTAGTACACAGTGGCATACATATAGTCCACAGTGTCAAACATCTAGTACACAGTGGTATATATATAGTACACAGCGGTATACATCTATTACACAATGGTATACATCTAGTATACAATGGTATACATGTATATCCAGTACACAGTGGCATATCTAGTACACAGCGGTATACATTTAGTACACAGTTTCATACATCTAGTACACAGTGGTATATATCTCGTACACAGCGGTATACATCTAGTACACAGTGGTATACATCTATTACACAATGGTATGCATCTAGTATACAATGGTATATATCTAGTACACAGTGGTATACATCTAGTACACAGTGGCATATACCTAATACATAGTGGCATACATCTAGTACACAGTAGTATATCTAGTACACAGCGGTATACATCTAGTACACAGTGGTATATATCTAGCACACAATGCTATACATCAAGTACAGAGTGGTATACATGTAGTACACAAGGCTTTACATCTAGGACACAGTGGTATATATCTAGCACACAATGCTATACATCTAGGACACAGTGGTATATATCTAGCACACAAGGCTTTACATCTAGGACATAGTGGTATACATCTAGTACACAATGCTATACATCTAGTACACAGTGGTATACATGTAGAACACAATGCTATACATCTAGTACAGAGGGGTATACTGGCACTAGAATCCTTTTTTAGGAAGTTTTCCAAAAGTTTCTATCAATATTTAATCCTGATGTTAGCATTTGACAGAATGAATGTTTCCTAATCTTCATATTCTTTCTTTTGTTGTTTGTTGATAACACTGCTTAGGGGCCAATCCTTTCGGGGACTACACACAATAAACTATACAGGTGATTTTTGGAGCGTCTCACTTCCGGGACAACTCTATCGTTTATCTGACAGCAGATGTTGAACAATAGTCATGTTGCCTCCCCCACAAAAGTTAACTGTCACCATCTGTATCAACCAGCGATAGGTCCGCCCCCTTTGATTCCAGGAAGTCAAACACGCTGTTGTGTCCTTTGAAAGCAGCAATTATTATCGGTGTAAGTCCATTCATTCCCCTTTGGTTAATGTTAGAATCTGACAGCAGGTGTTTAACAATAGTAATGTTGCCACCACGACAGGCAAGATGAAGTAAACTATCCCCATCTGTATCAACCAGCGATAGGTCCGCCCCCGCTGATTCCAGGAAGTCAAACACGCTGTTGTGTCCATTGAAAGCAGCAAACATTATCGGTGTAAGTCCATTCATTCCCCTTTGGTTGATGTTAGAATCTGACAGCAGGTGTTTAACAATAGTCATGTTGCCTCCCGCACTGGCAAGATGAAGTAAACTGTTACCATCTGTATCAACCAGCGATAGGTCCGCCCCCTTTGATTCCAGGAACTCAAGCACTCTTTTGTGTCCTTTGAAAGCAGCAACCATAATCGGTGTCCGTTCTCTCTTTCCCCTTTGGTTGATGTTTAAATCAGACAGCAGAAGTTGTACAATAGTCATGTTGCCTCCCTGACAGGCAAGATGAAGTAAACTATTACCATCTGTATCAACAAGCGATAGGTCCGCCCCCTCTGATTCCAGGAAGTCAAACACGCTTTTCTGTCCGAAGACAGCAGCAACCATTATCGGTGTCAATCTGTAACTTCCCCTTTGGTTGATGTTGGAATCTGACAGCAGATGTTGAACAATAGTCATGTTCCCTCCCAGACAGGTAAGATGAAGTAAACTATTACCAGTTGTATCAACCAGCGATAGGTCCGCCCCCTTTGATTCCAGGAAGTCAAACACGCTGTTGTGTCCTTTGAAAGCAGCAATTATTATCGGTGTAAGTCCATTCATTCCCCTTTGGTTAATGTTAGAATCTGACAGCAGGTGTTTAACAATAGTAATGTTGCCACCACGACAGGCAAGATGAAGTAAACTATCCCCATCTGTATCAACCAGCGATAGGTCCGCCCCCGCTGATTCCAGGAAGTCAAACACGCTGTTGTGTCCATTGAAAGCAGCAAACATTATCGGTGTAAGTCCATTCATTCCCCTTTGGTTGATGTTAGAATCTGACAGCAGGTGTTTAACAATAGTCATGTTGCCTCCCGCACTGGCAAGATGAAGTAAACTGTTACCATCTGTATCAACCAGCGATAGGTCCGCCCCCTTTGATTCCAGGAACTCAAGCACTCTTTTGTGTCCTTTGAAAGCAGCAACCATAATCGGTGTCCGTTCTCTCTTTCCCCTTTGGTTGATGTTTAAATCAGACAGCAGAAGTTGTACAATAGTCATGTTGCCTCCCTGACAGGCAAGATGAAGTAAACTATTACCATCTGTATCAACAAGCGATAGGTCCGCCCCCTCTGATTCCAGGAAGTCAAACACGCTTTTCTGTCCGAAGACAGCAGCAACCATTATCGGTGTCAATCTGTAACTTCCCCTTTGGTTGATGTTGGAATCTGACAGCAGATGTTGAACAATAGTCATGTTCCCTCCCAGACAGGTAAGATGAAGTAAACTATTACCAGTTGTATCAACCAGCGATAGGTCAGCCCCCGCTGATTCCAGGAAGTCAAAGACGCGGTTGTGTCCTTTGACAGCAGCAAACATTATCGGTGTCAGTCCATTCATTCCCCTTTGGTTGATATTAGAATCTGACAGCAGATGTTTAACAACAGTCATGTTGCCTCCCTGACAGGCAAGATGAAGTAAACTGTTACTATCTGTATCAACCAGCGATAGGTCCGCCCCCTTTGATTCCAGGAAGTCAAGCACACTTTTGTGTCCTTTGAAAGCAGCAACCATAATCGGTGTCCGTTCTCTCTTTCCCCTTTGGTTGATGTTTGAATCAGACAGCAGGTGTTGAACAATAGTCATGTTGCCTTCTGCACAGCAACAATGCAGTAAACTGTTGTCATCCGTATCAACCAGCGATAGGTCCGCCCCCTCTGATTCCAGGAAGTCAAACACGCCTTTGTGTCCATTGACAGCAGCAGCCATTATTGGTGTGCACCCATTCATTCCCCTTTGGTTGATGTTAGAATCTGACAGCAGATGTTGAACAATAGTCATGTTGCCTCCCACACAGGCAAGATGAAGTAAACTGTTACCTTCTGTATCAACAAGAGAGAGTTCCGCCCCCTCTGATTCAAGGAAGTCAAACAAGCTTTTCTGTCCGAAGACAGCGGCAAACATTATCGGTGTCCGTCCATTCATTCCCCTTTGGTTGATGTTGGAATCTGACAGCAGATGTTTAACAACAGTCATGTTGCCTCCCACACTGGCAAGATGAAGTAAACTATAACCAGTTGTATCAACCAGCGATAGGTCCGCCCCCGCTGATTCCAGGAAGTCAAACATTCTTTTGTGTCCTTTGAAAGCAGCAAACATTATCGGTGTCAATCCATTCGCTCCCCTTTGGTTGATGTTTGAATCTGACAGCAGATGTTGAACAATAGTCATGTTGCCTCCCTGACAGGCAAGATGAAGTAAACTGTTACCTTTTGTATCAACCAGCGATAGCTCCGCCCCCTTTGATTCCAGGAAGTCAAACATGCTTTTGTGTCCATTGACAGCAGCAACCATTATCGGTGTGCACCCAAACATTCCCCTTTGGTTCATGTTTGAATCTGACAGCAGATGTTGAACAATAGTCATGCTGCCTCCCCGACAGGCAAGATGAAGTAAACTATTACCAGTTGTATCAACCAGCAAGAGGTCTGCCCCCTTTGATTCCAGGAAGTCAAACACGTTTTTGTGTCCGACGACAGCAGCAACCATTATCGGTGTGCACCCAAACATTCCCCTTTGGTTGATGTTATAATCTGACAGCAGATGTTGAACAATAGCCATGTTCCCTCCCACACAGGTAAGATGAAGTAAATTATTACCATTTGTATCAACCAGCGATAGGTCCGCCCCCTCTGATTCCAGGAAGTCAAAGACGCTTTTGTGTCCAAAAACAGCAGCAACCATTATCGGTGTCCATCCATTCATTCCTTTTTTGTTGATACAAATTGGTGGTAACAGTTCCTTAACAATAACAATGCTCCCTCCTTTACAAGCAAGGTGAATAACACCATTTCCATACGTGTTCAGAACATCCAGATTTGAGAATGGCATGAGCTGCTGGAAGCAATCCCCTGACCCTGTTCCTGCTGCAATCATTAGAGGAGTGTGGCCATCAACATCAACACTGTCTATAACAAGTTTGTTTACCGATACATTTAGCAGTGCACGAAGTGTGTTTTCATGTCGTGATTTACATACCAAATGGAAGATGTTTTGCATCATCGAGTCACAAGTATGGGGATTCGCCCCTTCATTCAGCAGATACAACAGTGTTGCAGTACTTCCATTTTCTGCTGCTGCAAACATGAGCCTGTTCAGCCTGTTGATCCGGTCATGCTCATCACTCCTGGAGAGTAGCCATTGTAGTAATGTCAGGTTGTTTACTTGGGCACAACCTTCCATACCCTCTCTGATCTCGTCTTGTGTAAACACTTCTCCAGTTTGGTTCTCAACACTTGTTACCAAATGTGGATTATGTCCAAGAACAGCCCAATACAAAAAACATTTTCCTTTTTCTCTTTGGTGAAACCAGGCATTGTCTATGGATTCATTTTTCGTCCCATCAAAGTGTAGTCTTTCAAGAAGTTGTTCAGCTTGTTTGTCTTGCTTAAGAATTGGATGTGTTACTGACTTAGAAAAATGTCCCTGTTTCAGAGAATTTGCAAGCCGTGTGGTAAGAAGCTCATGATACTCTTCAGAAACGAATATCAAGTGAAGATGTTCATCAACTTTTGTTTCTTTTACTGTTCCTTGTTGTACACGCTCGTACAGAAAGTCTTCACTGCAATGCTTCAAAACAAAACTTGGATTGATGTTATATAAGACACAGGCACAAGCATCATAGATTGAAGAATGAGCAAAGCCTACAGTGTCTCCTCTTGTGAAGAATGTACCTCTGAATAGCCTTGCTGCTTGACACATCCCAGAGCGTGTAGCGGTAGGCATGAGACGTATCACATGTTTGACTTTCGTATCCAAGTCCTGGTCCTCATCCTCACTTTCTAACTTTGTCAATTTTAATCTGTCTTCACACAATAACATCAGGACTAACACACCAGATCTATCATTCTTAGAAGTAATTATGTCATTGAGTTCCTCCCTCAAATAAGACAAGGGTTCCTTGAAAAGCTTTCTGACATTTTTTGAAAAAGAAGCAAGTTTACATATCAGGGGAAATCCAAATAGTTTTGAATCTGTTTCCAAATCATTGTATTCAGGTAAGTCAGCTTTGGAGCATTCATCTAGCATGCTCTTATGTCTCTCATATATTTCCTGTTTCTCTGCTGAGGAAAGACAGTTTACATCATGTAAAGTTATATTCATAACTGTTTGTTCCTCAAACAGGGGGAAACAATCAAAGTGCAGTTGTGCAAGTCCGTCGTGGAAGTTGTATGACTTTGATGTGAAAATGACACGAATGTCCTTTGTTTGACTTTTTCTTTTGTCATCGTTACTGGATTTACCTCCATCTTGCAAAACTGAGTGTATTTGTTCACGGGACTGTTTGCAGTGGTCTATATGGAGAATAAGATCATTTAGAAATGCTTTAATCAGTGGAACATTAGTGGACAAGCCAGCAGTGCCAAACATGTCATCAATGATAAGAAATACTCTCGGTGTAGAACTGAGGCAGCTGTCCAAGTCAAACTTCTCAATGCTGTCCACAAACACGACCTGGTAACCTCGGTTTCTATAACGTGAACCCAACATCAGAGCCATCGTTGTCTTCCCTTCTCCAGAGGCACCATAGATGGTCACATGACCAAACAGCTTTACTTTTTGCTTCACTGTTCTGTAGATTTCTGTTTCAATAAATGTTTTCCTTGCTTCAGTAAGGCGCAGCTCAAGAGTATCTGTGCAGAAACACGACATTATATGAGAATGTTATATGTAGGACAGAAACTAATGCACGTCATTGAATATACAGAGGTAAACTACGTTGGTAAGATGGATAAGTCATGTAAACTAAAATACATATTTATTTCCGCACTTATATGGTAAGTTTTCCCCATTAAAGCCCTGTCTAATCTATTTCTGACGATTTGTCAGTTTCAGAATTGTCCACTTATCAAATGTTTATTTCTTAACTTAACTAGGAATTGTATTTTATCTTTGTTTTACTAGTATGTTCTGGTCGCATAAATGTTATGTTTCAGCTACCCTATGCATCACAGCTGTACAAATGCTTTGATAAATCTCTTTGTATGGCCACCCGATCCATTACTTCGCCTCTGCCGACCAGAATAAGTTGTTAGGAAACCATTCTAAGGTGTGATCTTCACGTCTTCTCATTTTCGGCTCTTATGACTAGCAATAGGGTGCTGGGACCCCATTCTACCCGGGGCCCCATGAGGCCTTTGATGCTTTTACATTTAGATCATGATCATGGATGTGAATAATTTCTTTATTTATACTCACCTTCTCCGACAGTTCCCGGTACCATCTGCCCAGTGGAGATGTTGACGTACTTCGAGTTGGCAAGAATGATGCCAGTGGCTGGACCACCTGGCAACAAATCAACGATGATGTTCAACAACGAACTCTTATGTTTGATACAAAATAGAGGAAGGGTTTCATTTTTCTTTATTAAATAGGACCTCGTTAATTACGTTTTCGTGTGCTGGGTCACTGATACAGGTCTTTCATCTCTTATAATTCGCCTTTGCACATAAAGCAGTAAGCTGATATCCATGTGAAGCCCACATACTGATCAAGCAAAACCTGTTTCAGGACATACTTAATCAGGTGAGGTGGTGAGATCAAATGGGGTTTAACGTGCAATTTATATAATATATAAAAGCCTGTCGTCGAAGGACGACTAGCAACATACTGCAGATTATAATTATAAAACTAGTTTTAGAACAATAAAATGATCAGATTTTAAAAACAGACGACACATTATAAAAACGGGATGTAGATCGCCAGCAGCCAAAGTTAGGCCACCACACCAGGGACCATGCGGACTTACGGTACTTCTGCTACCTACATGGTACCCCAGGAGGATTTACTCCATCCCTCTGACTCCTGGCGATGGTCAGAAAGATTAGCCAAACAGTTAAAATCAACAAAAAAACTACGATTAAAATCACAGAGAAATTAAAAGATACTTTGAATGATACTGGACTTACGTATCTTAGTGCCTTAATGAGTAATACATGCCCAGTGGTAAAGCTTTCATTCAATGTGCAAGGTGTGGTGAAGTTAAATGACAAGTTAAATGAAGGGGTATTAGAACGTTACTGAATGTTTAATACTGAGGTATTGTTGATGAACTTCAACGTTAATTTTAACTAGTCTGCTCCATTTCTTAATTATAAATACTAGGATCTTGAAATTTTTTATTTTTTTTCATTTGCAATGTCTTGAATATTATCCCACTTTTAGTCTCAGATAGTTTTGCTCAAAGAAAGAGTTTAGGAAAAGGCCAATTTAATCCATGCCTCCCATTTCTCACATATACCACGTTTGCATACTGCCCGACACTTTAACTGCCTTAGAACCTATCAAGTTAATATGGTAATGAAATGTATTAAGAGGATGGCACGTCTGACGTTCCTGGGAGAACACCAGCCGTAATCATCACGACAAAGCAGTACACACCTATAAACACAGTGACAGAGGAGGAAGAATTATTATGGACACATACCACGCCTTGGCTTGGAGACGAAAGGTTGACACCCTGGTGAAGCAATGGCCGTGTGGTCTCCAGGGTCAAGTCCATGCTCAGTCGGCCTGGAAATGGCCGTGTTGTCTCCAGGGTCAAGTTCATGCTCAGTCGGCCTGACAATGGCCGTGTGGTCTCCAGGGTCAAGTCCATGCTGAGTCGGCCTGGCAATGGCCGTGTTGTCTCCAGGGTCAAGTTCATGCTCAGTCGGCCTGGCAATGGCCGTGTTGTCTCCAGGGTCAAGTCCATGCTGAGTCGGCCTGGCAATGGCCGTGTTGTCTCCAGGGTCAAGGTCGTGCTCAGTCGGCCTGGCAATGGCCGTGATGTCTCCAGGGTCAAGTCCGTGCTCAGTCGGCCTGGCAATGGCCGTGTGGTCTCCAGGGTCAAGTCCGTGCTCAGTCGGCCTGGCAATGGCCGTGGGATCTTCCTCGTCTGATCCACCAATGGCTTCATGGCCAACACCTGAACTGGCCATGTCCATGTGGTCGTCAAGGTCCTCAACTCGAGTTCTTATGTCCTGAAGGAATGGTGGCAGCCTCGGTGTGGATAACACTCACAATGTACCACTGTAGTGACACATTAGCATACAATAAATATATCAAACAGTCTTTAGTGTTTAAGTGTGGGACGATTGTTGTAAAGGAAGACAATAAATGTCCATGATAACGCTACATTATGATCCTCCTTTTCCTTCTATGCACTCCATGCAAGTGTTGGAAATCAGGTCTGTAATCGCCCGTCCGTTAAAACTTTAAAGAAACTGTTCCCCTTCAAAACTGCACATCAACATCTCATCATAACATTTTCTTTACAATATAGTAAAATTTTGTTTTCTAAAACAGGGCGTGTGAAATCAGTTGAGGATAAAATGTAGTCCATCAAAATTACTTGAATAAAAAATGTTTTCAACCACAGACAAGGCTTTTCATTCTTAAAACAGTCCCTGTCTGAGATCAGGTGAACTTTTGGGCATGTGACTGGCTGAAGTCAAGGTCAAGAAGGTCTTGTTTGTTTTTTTGTTGTTTAAAGCCGCGACTCAGCAATATTCCCGCTACATGACGGCGGTCTGTATATAATCGAGACCAAATAAACCAGTGACATTATAAGCATCGATCTTCGCATTTGGGATACAATGACATACTGATTGAAACGAATAATGAAAAAATGAAAAATATAGGGAAAAAAGCTTTCTGTCAGTACATTTGAAATAGCGCGCATGCAAATTCAACGTCAGAATCAAATGTTGAGATGAGTTTGGGAAGACAAGGCTGGGAACCCATAATAGAATATCATTTTATTGTGTCTAAAATTAAGAGTTCCCTTTCTCTTTTCCATCAGTCACGTTTCGTTTCCGGAGTATAACTAATAAACGGTTCAATATTTCTTCTTAATACTTTATATACATTTTAGGCAAGTGGTGAAACTGAACATTTTGCTACTTTACATGAAACTCAATTCCCACTTGACCCGTGAAGATCCGGGGTAGAATAGGTCTTCAGCAACACATGCTTGCCGTAAGAGGCGAAAATGCTTGTCGTTACAGGCGACTAAACATGATCGGGTGATCAGACTCGCTAACTTGGTTCATGCACGTCATCGTATCGACATTGCGTGGATCCATATCAATCAGACCGTCATCATATAGCTGGAATATTGCTGAGTATGGCGTTAAACAACAAACAATTCTCACTTTACTTTACCCTTTAACTCACCTCACTACCCACTTAACATGAAACTCATCTCAGTACCCACTTTATATGAAACTAACATCAGTACCCAAATTACATGTAATTCACCCCAATACCCACTTTATATGAAACTAACATCAGTACCCAAATTACATGTAATTCACCTCAATACACACTTTACATGGAACTCACCTCAATACCCACTTTATAAGAAACTAACATCAGTACCCAAATTACATGAAACTCATCTCAGTACACACTTTACATGGAACTCACCTCAATACCCACTTTATAAGAAACTAACATCAGTACCCAAATTACATGAAACTCACCTCAATACACACTTTACATGGAACTCACCTCAATACCCACTTTATAAGAAACTAACATCAGTACCCAAATTACATGAAACTCACCTCAATACCCACTTTACATGAAACTCACCTCAATGCCCATTTTACATGAAACTCACCTCAATACCCACTTTATAAGAAACTAACATCAGTACCCAAATTACATGTAATTCACCCCAATACCCACTTTACATGGAACTCACCTCAATACCCACTTTATAAGAAACTAACATCAGTACCCAAATTACATGTAATTCACCCCAATACCCACTTTACATGGAACTCACCTCAATGCCCATTTTACATGGAACTCACCTCAATGCACACTTTATAAGAAACTCATCTCAGTACCCACTTTACATGAAACTCACCTCAATACACACTTTTTATGAAACTCACATCAGTACCAAAATTGCATAAAACTCATCTCATGATCAATACCCACTTTACATGGAACTCACCTCTATACCCACTTTACATGGAACTCACCTCTATACACTTTTCACATAAAACTCACCTCAATACCCACTTTATATGAAACTCACATAAGTACCCAAATTACACGAAACTCATCTCAATACCCACTTTACATGGAACACATCTCAGTACCCACTTTACTTGAAACTCACCTTAATACACACTTTACGTGGAACTGACCTCAATACATTTTTACATGGAACTCACCTGGATACACACTTTACATCAAACTCATCTCAATACCCACTTTTCATGAAATTCTACTCAATACCCACTTTATATGAAACTAACGTCAGTACCCACTTTACATGAAACTCATCTATATACCCACTTCACATGAAACTCCTCTCAATACCCACTTCACATGAAACTCCTCTCAATACCCACTTCACATGAAACTCACCTCAACACCCACTTTATATGAAACTAACATAAGTACCCAAATTACACGAAACTCATCTCAATACCCACTTTACATAGAACTCATCTCAGTACCCACTTTACATGAAACTCACCTTAATACACACTTTACGTGGAACTGACCTCAATACATTTTTACATGGAACTCACCTGGATACACACTTTACATCAAACTCACCTCAATACCCACTTCACATGAAACTCCTCTCAATACCCACTTCACATGAAACTCCTCTCAATTCCCACTTTTCCTGAAATTCACCTCAATACCCACTTTATATGAAACTAACATCAGTACCCAAATTACATGAAACTCACCTCAATACACACTTTACATGGAACTCACCTCAATACCCACTTTATAAGAAACTAACATCAGTACCCAAATTACATGAAACTCATCTCAGTACACACTTTACATGGAACTCACCTCAATACCCACTTTATAAGAAACTAACATCAGTACCCAAATTACATGAAACTCACCTCAATACCCACTTTACATGAAACTCACCTCAATGCCCATTTTACATGAAACTCACCTCAATACCCACTTTATAAGAAACTAACATCAGTACCCAAATTACATGTAATTCACCCCAATACCCACTTTACATGGAACTCACCTCAATACCCACTTTATAAGAAACTAACATCAGTACCCAAATTACATGTAATTCACCCCAATACCCACTTTACATGGAACTCACCTCAATGCCCATTTTACATGGAACTCACCTCAATGCACACTTTATAAGAAACTCATCTCAGTACCCACTTTACATGAAACTCACCTCAATACACACTTTTTATGAAACTCACATCAGTACCAAAATTGCATAAAACTCATCTCATGATCAATACCCACTTTACATGGAACTCACCTCTATACCCACTTTACATCGAACTCACCTCTATACACTTTTCACATAAAACTCACCTCAATACCCACTTTATATGAAACTCACATAAGTACCCAAATTACACGAAACTCATCTCAATACCCACTTTACATGGAACACATCTCAGTACCCACTTTACATGAAACTCACCTTAATACACACTTTACGTGGAACTGACCTCAATACATTTTTACATGGAACTCACCTGGATACACACTTTACATCAAACTCATCTCAATACCCACTTTTCATGAAATTCTACTCAATACCCACTTTATATGAAACTAACGTCAGTACCCACTTTACATGAAACTCATCTATATACCCACTTCACATGAAACTCCTCTCAATACCCACTTCACATGAAACTCCTCTCAATACCCACTTCACATGAAACTCACCTCAACACCCACTTTATATGAAACTAACATAAGTACCCAAATTACACGAAACTCATCTCAATACCCACTTTACATAGAACTCATCTCAGTACCCACTTTACATGAAACTCACCTTAATACACACTTTACGTGGAACTGACCTCAATACATTTTTACATGGAACTCACCTGGATACACACTTTACATCAAACTCACCTCAATACCCACTTCACATGAAACTCCTCTCAATACCCACTTCACATGAAACTCCTCTCAATTCCCACTTTTCATGAAATTCACCTCAATACCCACTTTATATGAAACTAACATCAGTACCCAAATTACATGGAACTCACCTCAATACCCACTTTATATAAAACTCACCTCAATACCCACTTTACATGGAACTCACCTCAATACCCACTTTAGATGGAACTCACCTCAGTACACACTTTATATAAAACTCACCTCAATACCCACTTCACATGAAACTCCTCTCAATACCCACTTCACATGAAACTCCTCTCAATACCCACTTCACATGAAACTCATCTCAACACCCACTTTATATGAAACTAACATCAGTGCCCAAATTACATGGAACTCACCTCAATACCCACTTGATATAAACTCACCTCACTACCCACTTTACATGGAACTCACCTCAATACCCACTTTAGATGGAACTCACCTCAGTACACACTTTACATTAAACTCACATCAGTACCCAAATCACATGAAATTCATCTCCTATACCCACTTCACATGGAACTCACCTCAATACCCACTTTATATAAAACTCACCTCTATACCCACTTTACATCGAACTCACCTCTATACACTTTTCACATAAAACTCACCTCAATACCCACTTTATATGAAACTCACATAAGTACCCAAATTACACGAAACTCATCTCAATACCCACTTTACATGGAACTCATCTCAGTACCCACTTTACATGAAACTCACCTTAATACACACTTTACGTGGAACTGACCTCAATACATTTTAACATGGAACTCACCTGGATACACACTTTACATCAAACTCATCTCAATACCCACTTTTCATGAAATTCTCCTCAATACCCCCTTTATATGAAACTAACGTCAGTACCCACTTTACATGAAACTCATCTATATACCCACTTCACATGAAACTCCTCTCAATACCCACTTTACATGAAACTCCTCTCAATACCCACTTCACATGAAACTCACCTCAACACCCACTTTATATGAAACTAACATAAGTACCCAAATTACACGAAACTCATCTCAGTACCCATGGCCACTTTACATGAAACTCACCTTAATACACACTTTACGTGGAACTGACCTCAATACATTTTTACATGGAACTCACCTGGATACACACTTTACATCAAACTCACCTCAATACCCACTTCACATAAAACTCCTCTCAATACCCACTTTTCATGAAATTCACCTCAATACCCACTTTATATGAAACTAACATCAGTACCCAAATAACATGGAACTCACCTCAATACCCACTTTATATAAAACTCACCTCAATACCCACTTAACATGGAACTCACCTCAATACCCACTTTAGATGGAACTCACCTCAGTACACACTTTATATAAAACTCACCTCAATACCCACTTCACATGAAACTCCTCTCAATACCCACTTCACATGAAACTCACCTCAACACCCACTTTATATGAATCTAACATCAGTGCCCAAATTACATGGAACTCACCTCAATACCCACTTTATATAAAACTCACCTCAATACCCACTTTACATGGAACTCACCTCAATACCCACTTTAGATGGAACTCACCTCAGTACACACTTTACATTAAACTCACATCAGTACCCAAATCACATGAAATTCATCTCCTATACCCACTTCACATGGAACTCACCTCAATACCCACTTCACATGGAACTCACCTCAATACCCAACATGAAACTCATCTCAACTTCCACTTTACATGAATCTCCCCTCAATTCCCACTTTACATGAAACTTACATCAGTACCCCGTTTACATGAAACTCACATCAGTACCCACTTTACACGAAACTCGCCTCAATTCTCACTTTCCATGCATTTAATAGACATGTAATGGTACACGAAAATATTCCACAAAGAAAGAAAAGTCTTCTGTTCTACTCACTGTCGGGTGCGGCTGGGCTGTGAGATCAAGGTAGGACTGATCACCTGACAGAAAATGTATTCCCCCTCGTGACAAGCTAAGGGGGCCCATCAGGGTTGTTATAAATCTAAAAATGTTTATCACTGTACGGAATTAAACATAAGTGTGAGTGTACTTGATAGATTTTGTAAACACTGTCGTCTGGGAGCAGGACACCACTGATTACAACATACTTGAAAGCATGTGCTAAAGATTTTATCATGTTCGGATTTATTGTAATTTGCCGTCCCCTTAAATGGGCCTCGTTGTATGTGAAAACTGGATCAGCACTGTTTGTGAGTTAAGCACGGTGACACAAGTCTTGTTTGCTGTGACTACCAATCCATTTCAATGAAGCTATTCACAGTGCAAGATCATATTTGCATTTATCACTGTGGCTTAGCTTTATGTTTAGATTGTGTGGTTGTTGGTTGTCAGACGCCGCACTCAGAAAATGTCCAGCAATATGACTGCGGCCTGTAAGTTATTGAGTTAGGTCGAGACAATCAAGTGATTGATATTACGAGCATCGTCCCTGTCTTCCTGATATTATGATCTGCAAACAACCAAATCAACGACCCTGACTACCTGGTCCATTTCGTCTTATATAGAAGCCCCACAGATGCCTACGTGCATACTGATACATGAATATATCCTCTAAACACTAAACTATGTCTATATTATTGCAGGATATTACAGCGATGGCCCACCTCCCTGAGGAAGGTGGGCTATGTTGAAAGAATGACAAAGACGCAACAGTGGATTTAATGGCCGAGGGTGTGGAGGTTCTAAAGGGCTACCCCGATTTAGAAATGGAATAAATAGTATTTATGTGGCGACTTGAGTCGCCAAACATATTTGTTAATATATAATTAATGGTAAGGCCCAAATGGCGGAAATGTCACAACCCGACCACAGCTGCGGGTCTAAATGGGAGCGAACGCCGCCAGGCCAAATTTAATTGTTAATATATACTTAATGCTACGGCCCAAATGACGGAAACGACGCAACCCGACCAACGCTGCGGGTCTAAATGGGAGCGAACGCCGCCAGGCCCAGCTATGTGGCAACTTGCGTTGCCAAATATAATTGTTACTAGATTCCCGAGTGAAAACCCGGGAAAGACTGGGTTCCAACTGGTAAGAAGGTAACCCAGTCTGGGTTCCCGCTGGAAAGCAGGTAACCGGAAACCCTAATTAGTATATATATCAATATAAATTATGATGATATAGGAGGTAGCCCAGAAGAACCACGCCACTTAGCACCAAAGTGCTACCCCACACCCCACGGCCGCGGATGATGATTCGCGTGCCCGCCATGATTGCCTCATAAGAAAGATGTCTTACCTTTATATTTACCTACTTGAAAATTTGGACCAAGGCATGATCGATATCCTTTACGAAAGCTCCTATCCCTTTACAACTAAGGTGGATTCCCTCCCACTGGAACCAGGACCTGTCAGTGGCCACTATTCTAGGATGGGGGATAAATGAGAACTTAGGAAGGTCGCGGAGACGATTGGCTTACCGCCTATTGAGCTTAGATCTACTCTTTTCCACCTTACGTGGGTCGCGTGCGGAATGCCAATACCTTCGTTGTAGGATACCGGAAAAACAGACATGGGTGTTTGGTAGGTGTGCCTGGATCCGCATGATTGACGTCTCCATATCTATGAGGAGCTGGCTGGTCTTTGTGGAGCCCAAGTCATTGGATCCCAAGTGTATTACGACGGCTGAAGGACTGCGCCGCGTTGCCTCCACCTGAGCGTCGATCACCCTGTCCAGGTCATTCCACCGCAGTCCGCCCCTTGCCAACCACAAAATCTTTTTGTGGGGCACCAGCTCCGGGCGCTGTGGGGACAGCTGTTGCCTCGCCCTTGTCATAAAGCTTGAGCCCACCATCCAGACTGGAACAAATGTACTATAGTACCATTTGGCAGTTATTAGTTATTTGCCTTTAGTTCTTGTTAGCTAACATGAATAATTATGTCACAGGAAGACGTATATACGACTGATAGCATTCTGACTTCCACCTGCCGTATTGCTGGATGAGATGTGGTGGTACCCCCTTGATAGCTGCCGTTGTTGCTGCCCCGATTCGGAAAGAGTGGGAAGAATAACTTTCCGTACCTATTGAGCTGAGGGCCAAGGCCTTTTTTAGGACCGCTTGGAACTGATACCTGGTTAGCGGTGAATGGTCAAAGTGGATAAATGCTTGGGCGGGGCCAGATGGGCGTACCTTTAAGTATGCCTTAAGGGCAGCCACTGGGCAGGGTGATTTACCTGGTGTCGGCTCTATACCCACTGAATTGCCGTACCCATGTTGGTCGCCTTTGGAGTGTGGAAGGTGGATAGTAGCTTTCTCCGGTTCGCCTGATATACTTACGTTATTGATGGAGCAGCCTGGCTGTGACATCTTAGTTTGAACTAGTTCACTTACTCTAAAGAAGCCAAAGAAGGCTATACAATAGACAGCTCTGAAAAGGCATACCTCGTATGACGAAGAACAAACCTGTGTGAGATTGTTGATGACCACCTTCAACAGATCCAGAGTAATAGGTTTCCTTGTGTCCTGGCGCCCTCTTGACTTGTACATACCTGTTATTAGTTTAGTAACCAGGAAATGATTGGTGCAGTCTTCCATACCTTTAAATTTATGGTTGGCGGATATACCAGCGATATATGTTTTTACTGTGTTGGGAGAATGGTTGGTGACTGACAAATGAGCAATAAAGTTTACGACCTGATCTAGGGGGACTGACCACGTTTCTGGAAGCTGATGCACCGATCTGAACTGCTGCAGCGCGTTGATGCCTGTCCTGTAAGTCGACCAGGTATTTTCAGACAGTGACTGTAGTAGTAGCCTGTCAACTTCTTGCTTCAGATGTGCCATATGTTGTCTGGAACCGGCGTTGGCGCAGGCTCTGCTTCCGGTGCTACTACCCGGAAACGATTGAACTGAAACCTCGAGAGTGCATCAGCTATAACATTGGAATTAGTTGCAATGTATTTTGACTTAAACAAAATGTTATAGTTAAGACAAAGGAGGATGAGGCGGCGGAGAAGATTCATCACCCGAGGGGCTTTGGTTGATTGCTTGTTGATGATTGCCACCACTGCCTGGTTGTCACAGTAGAACAGTATTTTCTTGTTCATCAGCTGTGTTCCCCATAGTTGAATGGCGCAGACGATGGGAAACAGCTCCAGAAAGGTCATGTCAAGTGTTGTCCCATCCTTAACCCAATGGTCAGGCCATCTACCGCAGAACCATCTGCCCTGAAGGTAGGCCCCAAAACCTATGCTCCCTGCTGCATCTGTGTAAAGCTGAAGGTGAGAGTTGTCCACCCACAGCTTGTCCTGAAATACTGATACACCATTAAAGTTCGTGAGAAATGTAAGCCACATTTGAAGATCCTGTTTTACCCATTCTGTGATTCGAATATGATGGAAAGGTTGCTGTGTCGATGAGTCTTCGACAGAATGCTCTACCCATTGGGATGGCCCTACACACAAAATTGAGCTTACCAATGAGTGACTGTAATTCTTTCTTTGTTGCCTTTGAGTTTGATGTGGCGAGTATGTCCTGAATTTGGGCTGTGATTTCACTGATCTTACCTTCCGGTATTCTCACCTGCATAGCTAGCGTGTCTATTTCGAGGCCCAGAAATGTAAGTTGAGACACTGGACCTACTGTTTTATCCTGGGCGATGGGAATACCAAGATGAGTTAGCATTTCTAATGCAGACTGCAAATAGGATTGGCATTGTCGGTATTGCTGGGATACGCTGACTTATGCACCATTGGAGAAATGAGCTGAAGGTCTCAAAAATAGCACATGATATCGAGCATCCAAATGGTAAGCATTTATCAAAGTAAAATTTACCTTCGAATTGGATACCCAGCAGTTCGAAATCATCCGGGTGCACTGGTATAATTCTGAATGCTGACTTGATGTCGAACTTTGCAAGCAGTGCTCCCTTTCCCAAGTGTTGCACCATCTGTACAGCTTCGTCGAACTTGGCATAAGAGACTGAACATGCTTGCGGATCTATGTGGTCATTAATTGACCCTCCTTTTGGATAAGACAGATGATGAATTAGACGGAAATCATCGACTTTCTCACCTTGGCATTGTTGTGATTCTGCCTGTTTCTTTGGGATTAGACCTACAGGGGATATTGCAAGTTAACAAAGGGGATAGTGCTAAACGGTCCTGCCATTCTGTTAAGATCCAGTTCTTTTTTAAGCTTTTGTCTAACGATGTCCCTCCTATCTTTATGGGTTGCGGATTGTAAATTACCTGCTAGCCGCCTATGGCGTGTACCTTGGAACTCGAGTTGGAAACCAAATGTAAAACCATCGAGCAAATATTGCGCATCCTCTGCGTTTAACTGAGAATAACGACACAACCATGGTGTTAACTTATCTAGTTTGACGGGAGTAGGAGCCAAAGACCTTTCCTCTAGTTCCTCTGGTTGACTGCCTTGGGCCATTAAAGCGTGGGCTTGAGCCATTAAAGCGTGAGCTTGAGCTATTGATTGAGAGGGGGTGTCGTGTGACCCCCTGTCCTCGAAAGCAGGTCGACGCCCCGTGAGCTGTTTCGCCGCACTTACTGCATATGTGGGAGTACGCGCAGCTGTACTTTTTACACCCATGAGGTTTGTTGAATGCGTAGCATAGGTTAAGTACAGGGTCTGAAACACTTGAAGCAGTCAGCTGACCGAATGTACCACCTACCTGTTGACGCCCCGACTGCGGGATCATGTATTTTAGCCATAGCTCACCGTCAAGTTTGTCCCATTGTCGTAGAGGGTCTCTAGCCATCCTATGTCGGAATTGCTAGTCGTATAGACACCAGGCATCCGGTCCACATCTAAGTGCCGCTGAACGGATTGTTTCCATGTACGATAATAGGCTTTGCACTATCCGTAGGCTGAAATGTTTGGCCAGGTATATGTTCATGTAAATATGGAAAGCGGATGTCCAGCTTCCCAGTGTTATTTTCCTCGTTGGCGCTTTGACAG